GGGGGGGGGGGGGGGGGTCCTCATTATGATTATAGTTATTATAGTATAAGTGGCACCCCAAAGCCCTATTCTAGTTGTTAAGGCCCCTACATCATAGAGTCCTGTTATGGATCCCTTATAATAGCACCCTTTAAGGGAGCCGTTTAGAGGAACCCTAGTCTAACTTGTGTTTAAAATGTTCGTTTCTTACGACGAATAATATAGGGGCCTTAATAACCAGAATGGGGTTTAGGGTCCTTTATAGTTCAGATTAGAATAAGGAACCCCCATAATAATAATATAGGTAATTATTGAGGCCACTATCCTTTTTAAAAGACGCTTTATAGGGCCAACTTAGCGACGCCTTCCGGTGCTGAGGCAAGAGCTGAAGAACGCCCTGAAGGCTTGTTCGTGCTGATACGGTTCAGGGTTCGGGGCATGGGTTTGGGGTATAGCATGTATAGGGTATGGCACAGGATCTGTACCCTTCCGCAACTTCTAAGGTCCTAAACCCTAAACCCTATGTCCCTATATGTTTCTTGCAGGCTCAGGGGATTGAAAGTTGTTAGTACGTAGAGTTATAAGAACCTAAGTGGAGAAATATCAGTTATGACCTTGGTTAGGGAATCTACTTCCAAACACTTCCCTCATGCTGCAAGTACGGATTACGGGAATTCTTCAGAGGTGAGGCTTTGGGGCGTAGAGGGTCATGAAGAAACTTAGCCTAGCCCAAAGCACTTAACAAGCATCACCTTCCACCCTGGCCCTAAACCCTTATCCTAGACACTTATAGCCCAAGAAAGCCAACCTTCTAACGAGTTATATGTTGAAACCGAGGAGCCCTACAAGGTTTGATTCTCTCGGGCACAAGCAGACTGTCGACATTGGCATGGCCGTTCTTTGCGTGCCTGGAGTCTTAGGGCTCAGGAGTGGCTTTAGGGTTTAGGGCGTAGGGTTTAGGGTTTAGGGTTTAGGGTTTAGGAGCATGTGACATGGTATCTACTTCGGCTGCCTCTGCGTCTTCTAGTGCTTTTACTGCTGCTACTACTACCACCACTACCACTACCACTAGCACTACTACTGTACTGTGACGCTGCTGATGATGGTGGTGGTGATGGTGGTGCTGATTGTGACCATGAAGAGGATATTCTTGGTTAGTGACCCGTGATCCATTGTCAGTCACTGCTGCTGTCGGTGCTGCCACTACTGCTACGCGCCTAGGAATAGCGAAGACCTGTCACCATCCCTAAACCCTAAACCCTAAACCCTAAACCACGAGCCTTTCAGCCTGGTGTCCCGGAGTCGGACTTCGCATTAGCAACAGTAGCAGCTATGCCTATGCAGGCAGCACCCTTCGGCGACCCTACAGAAACGACTACGGTGCCTAGCCGAGAGCGGGAATTATGCGGTTCAATCATCTCAGGAGTAAAAGGTTGCAGGTTCAGGAGCTTTGGAGGGCGAAGGGTTCAGGGGTCGAGGTGAAATCAACGATGGTTCTTAAGACATATGGGCATTTGAGATGTGAGCCTTCTTCTGTTGCGATTGCCCGGGGGAGAGGCATCGAATGTTGATTTCACGCTTTTACTCTTGAGGATTGGGGCCGCATAGCCATCGCAGACGGAAAGCAGGTTTTGGAGTTGTCAAGGTTCCAGCAAAAGGACGAGACCTTCGAACAGGCTGTTCCAGCGTTCGTCACCGCAGATTCTCGAGGTTCACTGTTCAGTCAGAAGGGGGTAAGATTTAGGTGACCTTCGATTCCACCATCTATGCTGAAAGGCAGCTCTTGAATCTTGAGCTCCCAAGTCACGGTTTGGAGATAGAGGGCCGTGCTTGCGATGGACAACTTGGAGTTTCGATACAAGCTTTATGCTGCAACTCGAGCCTTTCACGCTGGGAATCCTGTAGAATTCATTCATGGCTGAGGATCAGGGGAAGCCAGGGGTGACGTGGGACGACGAGGCGTTCCATGTTTTGGCAGCTGTGGCGCTCAACTAGAAGCTAGATGCTGAGCGCACTACCCTACCTCTGAAATCGAAACGTCCTCCCTGTGGTTGTCGACACAACAGCTGTTCACGAGGCTCAGGAAGAGTCAGGAAGAGGTGATGCATAGGTCCGGAGATCCCAAAGAGCGTTCCTTCGGCATGCATCGGAGGCCGGACAGCGCCCTCCGGCGTAGCAGGGGCTATGCTCGGCGGTGTGGCCGCATCCTGCCAGGGCTCCTCTTCACTCTCCTCCTCCTTGCATCAGCTTCTGTCACGCACCTGTCGCCGCCTGGCTGGTGGCGACGCGGTTTCCCAAGAAAGCGCTACGGCAGCTTCGCTGAAGTGGAGTTGCTATCACAGCTGGGCGCACTGCTCTGTCCGGACATGCCCTTGGAGGAGATGTTTCGAAGCTTTTACGGGAAAGACCTGGCTGAATGGGGAGGCCGTTACTTGAGCCCTGACCTCGTGCTTTACGGTGTTTTGAAGGATCCGGAGGCCGCACTGTTCATCGAATACGACGGCTTCTACCGTCACTTCGAGCCTAGAGGTGTGGAAGCAGACAGGCGCAAGACCAGAGCACTGCTGACCTTTGCGCCCCCACATTCTCGGGTGCTGCGATTGAGCCATCAGGAAAGGGAGCTTGACGATATCGCCGATTCGCTGGTGATACCTCGGTGGTGGCCTAGGCATAGGACGTCCCTCACGGCGTCGCTGCTTGAAGTCGTGCTTTTTTTGCTGGAAGGCCCACTTGGGCTCCATCCGCATCTCGCCGAGCATCTCAAGATATGCCTCAACAAACAGTTCCGTCTGTCGGAGGCAGCGTCGCTGTTTTCATGCAATGCTACACTGGCGGGTGATCCTCGAGCAAAGCTAGCAGAGCTAGACACATTCCTGATTTCGCTGGGTTTGAGCGAAGGGGAGGTTGCCAAGGCTGTTTCCAGATTTCCTCAGCTTCTTGGTTACAGCATCGGAGAGAACCTGCAGCCGACCGTGGATTGGTTGCAGGGCTTGGGCTTGAGTGACAGCGAGGTTGCCAAGGCCGTCTCCAGATGTCCTCAGCTTCTTGGTCTCAGCATCGGGGAGAATCTGCAGCCAACTGTGGATTGGTTGCAGGGCTTGGGCTTGAGTGACAGCGAGGTTGCCAAGGCTGTCTCCAGATTTCCTCAGCTTCTTTGTCTTAGCATCGGAGAGAACCTGCAGCCGACCGTTGATTGGTTGCAGGGCTTGGGCTTGAGTGACAGCGAGGTTGCCAAGGCCGTTGTCAGACGTCCACAGCTTCTTGGTTGCAGCATCGGAGAGAATCTGCAGCCGACCGTGGATTGGTTACAGGGCTTGGGCTTGAGTGACAGCGAGGTTGCCAAGGCCGTCTCCAGATTTCCGGAGTTTCTTGGCTACAGCATCGGAGAGAATCTGCAGCCGACCGTGGATTGGTTGCAGGGCTTGGGCTTGAGTGACAGCGAGGTTGCCAAGGCCGTTGTCAGACGTCCTCAGCTTCTTGGTCTCAGCATCGGTGAGAACCTGCAGCCGACCGTGGAATGGTTGCAGGGCCTGGGCTTGAGTGACAGCGAGGTTGCCAAGGCCGTTTCAACGTATCCGCAGAGCTTTGGCTGCGGCGGTGTCTCAGTCAGGTTGGAGCCGATGGTGGACTGGTTTGTCTGCATGGGTGCGAGCAGATCGGACGTCAGGCATCTAGTTATTCGGTTTCCGGTCATCATGTCCCTGCACCTTTCCAACAACTTGAAGCCTAAGACGCAGCTTCTGCTGCAATATTTCCCGCCCAAGGAGGCTTTATCGCTCCTTGTGGCAGATCCCCGTATCTTCAGCTACAGTGCCTTGCGCTTGCGCAAACGCCTGGCTGTGCTCGCCAGCAGGCAGCAGCTGGCAGGGTTCTCTGCTGCGCTGCGCATGACGGAGTCACGCTTCGAATCCAGCTATGGGGTGTAAGCTGTAAATGTCCGCACTGGCGCAGGCTCCATTCTCTCGAAGCCCCATTCTCGGAACCCAGGCCCATATCCCATGCCCCTCCCAAGCTGAAGATCTACTTAAGTATCACTCTGCTCCCAAAGATCAAGAAATTGTTGTTGCGATGACACAACAAACAATGTAGTATTGAAGTATGTCGTCGTCGTCGTCATCGCCGTAGTAGCGGTTGTTGTAGTTGTCATAGTTCTAGTAGTAGTAGTAGTAGTAGTAGTAGTAGTAGCAGCAGCAGCAGCAGTAGTAGTAGTAGTAGTAGCAGTAGTAGTAGTAGTAGTAGTAGTAGTAGTAGTGGTAGGACATGGAGCGACTGGGCGGT